CACTGAAGTTGCAGTGAAAATGGACACTTTTACCACTCCTACACCAAGGAAGAAAAACCCCAGAAGTTAATCAGTCACAATTCAAGATAAAAGAAGTAAAACAAAACAAATTTACACATAAATATAGCTCTCAAAATAATTTTAAATAAAACATAACTCAGAATTTCCTCAAATTGAATCACAAATGAGATTTAGGACTATTCCTAGATGGTGAGAATCCTCTGTGATGACCTCCAAGTCTTCAAGTTCACAGACAGAGTAAATGAGTATCTATTGACAAATGTGTGGTTTAAAACAAAACAAAAAAAAAAAATTGTGTCTACAGAGGTCAACTGTTCCTTCTACAGAATTACCACACAGTTTTAGAGGAGTTTGGCACAGTTAATTCAATAGTGTTCTTAGTCAGATCTTGGATTTCTGACTTGATTAGCATCAAAAATGTGACAAAAACCCTCAACGATTCATATCAAACAGGTCATTTTTGTGATAAAAGAAAAAAGTATTACTTAAAGTTACACATCACATATACACAAGATTTTTATATCTTTGCAGTTAAATTTTGAATCTAAATAGCCAATGGTTAAAAATACTCTGAGAAGAATTGCAGCACTTCTCAAAGGTAGTAGCAGCAAAGGAAAGAGCACTTCAGTAAGAACTATGCCATTTCCACACATCATCTACAATATTAACTTACAAAAATGTTCCATGGGGAATTTAGAAGATGTACAATTGCATATAACCTAGGACAGCACATGGGAATCCGTCCCATCAATGGGAGAATTTTAACAGCTCTTAAGATATCATGTGGTCTTATAATACAGCATTTTAGATAAAATTATTCCAAAATTTCCCAAAATGGTTTGCATTCATATAAGGCAGAACAAAAAGCAGTAAAAGACTTCATAGAATCAAAGCCAAATTTTTAGCTTTTCTTGCAAAAATTAAAAAGTTGTCAAGAATGAAATCTTGATTGTTATTCCTAGAAGAAAACATAGAAACGTGCCTGGAAAATTGCACCATATCAGGAGTTTGGGGAATCTTTCATTTTCTAAAAAAACAGATATGTCAGTATTCACTGGATTTATAAAACATTTTAATCAGAGAAACCTGAGAGAAACACTTTGAACACACTGGTGGACAATAAGCAGTAACCAGTCTGCTCCTTTCTAATTTCTGATGCTTGCAACTGCTTACAACAGGCATGTGGAGCTCATCTGTGTGAGCTCTTGCTTTTATTCCTCACTGGACAGGATCCGCAAAGCGTGGCCCTGGGTGTGCAGGCAGTGTGGCTAGGGAAAGAGTAAGGTCAGTACAGAGGTAATACCTTGTTTCCATAATAGGAGCATTCCATGGCAGAAATGTGCACTGTTTCCCAAATTATTTTCATAGCAGAAATTTAATTTATGTATGATTTCTAGGCAGATTTTCCATTTCTATGAGTTTTGGCTTCCTCCTGTCCAATAAGACAAATGACCTTGTAGCATCCTTTTGCAATTTTGACCATCCACATCACATTCATAATATCCAAGACAACGCTTGAGATAATCCAGGCACTCTGGGCTGCAAATCCTAATCTCCGGAAGCCTTCTGTTCCAAATGAAGAAATGACGTGGCTGTAATACACAGGCATGACGGCAATCCTCACCACGAAGAACACAACTGTCATCAGCACACCATTGAGGATGTTGGCCTTTGAAGATTTGGGATATCCCAGTACTTCAAAAAACCACCTGCAAAAGAAGTGTTCACAAATACCAGGCAGACTTGAAGCCATCTCATTAAAAATTATTTTTCTTCAAGTTTATTTTTAATTCATCATGTATTAATTGCTTCTACCTTTATAATTTCTAAATTATTGCACTTTGTCTTGGCTTAGTTACTAATCCTTATGCTTGGCTGCACTTTTTCCCCACCACTTAAGCAGTGTATGAGATCCAGTATACTGCAGAATAACACATAGAAAACCTTGATATGAATTGTGAACCAGTTGACAAACCACATGCATTTCAGTGACTATTGTATAATATACAATAATAAAACTATAAAGAAATATTTATTACTTGCTGTTATAGTTTATACCAACAGCAGCTAAAATTCTTTGTCTCATTGAAAGCAACTCTAAAATTGCATTTGGATTTGGTAATCCAGACAGAGCTCTAATTTCTTGTAACTGGGATTTTCTGACTGCTTCTGTTCAACTCAAAACCAGAACATTTTCAGAGCCAGACATTGTCAACTCTTGATCATGTCACAACTTGGAACGTTACCCAGTGAAAAAAGATAAATCTAAAAACTGCCTTTCCATCTACTGCTGGGTCATAAATGGTCTTTAAAAAAGAATTCGTGCATATTTATTCCTAGATATAGTAGACAGGCCTAACTTATCTATTGCCTAGCACACAGAACCTGAGGGTTGAAAAAGGAACAACTAACTAATCCTTTGTCATTCACACTTAAACCAGAATAAACAAGTAAAATTTTTGCAGCAATGGCAGATGGGACCAGAGCAAAATAACTTAAATCACTGTATTCCTAATGGGGGATGGGGAAGAGAACTAAATAATCCGTTTTTCTCCAAGAAGATACAAGGCTAAAATGATTTAACAAAAAAACAGTTCTAAAGCTGGTTTTAAAAGTAATTTTTAATTTAATTACCTACAGATTATAATAATTTTTAATTACCTAGGTAATTATAAATACACTAGAAAGATTTTCCAGACATCCAGCTCTAACAGAAATATTCTAGAAATTCATTAAGCATGCAACTAGGACAATTAAAATCCAGGCACTCGAGGTGGCAGTCCAGCCCGGAAGCAAGAGCCCTCACCATAGAAACACTTACTGACATGAAAAGGAAGACCTGACATGTTTGGTCAGATTAACAATCAAAGCTCTCACTTTCAAAGATATATACAATGCAGAATCAAAAATTAATGTAAAAAATGGTTTTCAAACATACTGCAATGTGCCAGTATGTTTGCATCTGTTTAGCAACTTCCCTTTCCCAGCAAATAAAAAAAGTCTGTAAATAACAGTTACCATTACAATTTTACCCGCCACAGTTCAGAATTAATTACATAAACGTTGATACTAACATTAAAAGATCTAAATGCTTGGCATGGAGACAACATCCAATTAGAGATCCCTAACAACACAGACAGGAAACACAGAGACAGTTCTAAGATTAGAATATCTTTTATATTTTAATAAGAGCACTTTTGGTAGACTAAGAATGCAAACAAGAAGCATAATGTAAGTCGTTATCATTATCCACTACTTACTCTCTTAAGGGTCTGATTCACTTCAAATTTAATGGAAAAAAATCATGCACTAATGAGATGACATCTCTTAGTGCAAGGGACTTTATTATCTCCTGCAGCAATTTCTGCTTTTCTGAGAGAGTGCTAAATGTCAGTATTCAAAGACCCATAATCTCACCATGGGCATTTTAAAAGTATAAAATTACTTTTAAAAGTATAAATTACTTTTAATAGCCAGATGCACCACAATTCTTTCTAATGCCACAGTCTGAAAGGTAAGCATCAGAGTAGGAACCCACATGAACCCAGGATGACATCCTATCTTGATAGAAGCTGGGACAACAGCAATTCTCTAGGACATGAATAGCAATATAAACCCTTTTTTCATTAAGTTTGAGGAAATGTTTATTTAGTCTTTATTTTCTCTGTGCACACAGAGCACAGGCTGCAACAGACTGGTATCTCCCACTCATCTGCACTGGGGCAGAGGAGAGCAGCCTCTGGAGAGCTCCATTATCCCACCCTGTCCTCCTGGGAGTTTGAGTTTACCAGACCGATGTTCAAAAGGGACCACAGCACAATCTTTTTTATCTGTAAGAGCACTGAGGAATGCTACAGTGTCATAAAACACTTCAGAGGTGAAGTCACAATGCAGTAATGGGCAATAGCCTGTCTGCAGGAGGAATACAGTTTCTATTTGCATTATCCTTTCTTTATCAGACATGTGGAAAAGCAAACAGATGCCACACTTGTAGAAGCAGTAAGGCAGAAATACAGCCCAAAAGCATGGTTAAGAAAATGGCATCTGATACACTGAAAGTCCTCATCCTACCTTGCAAAAAACTGGAGAAAGAGGAGAAGACTGCAGCCCTGCTCTGCACCAAAGCCCCTCACCTGAGGTGAAGTCTTTGTGGGGCAAATCCTACCCCCAGCTGTGGCCTGAAGGCTACAGAGTAAGGGGAGAGGCCACCCTCCCCTCAGCACCATGGAACTCCAATGAGAGCTTTCCCCTTGCAGCAGTACGTGGCATTACCAGCCTCCTTTTCTGATACAGCAGCACATCAGGGAAAACACTTCAACCAGCAGCCAGGGCAGGCTCTGAGCTCTGCAGGAGAAGCTTCAGCCCCTTTCTTCTCTAACCACAGGTGTGAAGATTAACCATAACCATTATAGTTAAGTGCTGACAATAGCTTGCAGAACTGTTTTTGAAGGCAAATAAAGAATATGCATTTATATTATTCTAGATATTAAATGCATATATAAATATTGATCCATGTGTGTAGAATACTGGAAAATAAACTTCAAATTATACAGGACAATGCAATTCCATTCTAGGATTCTGATGACAATATCTTGCCTCTTTTCCTCATCCAAGAAAAAACATGCATGTTGAAGATGGCTTTATTATAAAAAATAAATGAATATACAAAAGTTAATAAAGAATATTTTATTTGTGATTTTTTTTTGTCTGGTATTTTCATAAAAAGCTGGTATTTCATACAAAGCCTGGTCTAATCCAGAAAGGAACTGGGAGATGAATACATTAGTTATACTGTTGCAGCTATAGCAGCAAAATGTTTTCATAGCAAGAAAGACTTTCATATAGTAATCCTTAGTTCAATATATATAAATTCCCTGTCAGCAGACATTCCACAACTATAAAAAGACTTCCTAAGTGACAGAAATAGTAATGCAGATTCAGTTTTAAAAGAGCTACGGAAAACCTCCCTAACCACTTACCGCTGATTGACAAAAGGAGTGGAGAACTCTGCAAGGAGACGGAAGTTTCCAAAATAAGCCAGCAGACCTTTGCTCTGGTTAGCAAAACAAAACAGACACACAAAAATCAACAATGTAGATGTGAAGTTGTCATTTGAGCCTTTAAGTATACACAGAATGATACATCATCTCAACTTCTTTAATCCAGCTGAGTTTGCCAGCTGTGGCCACGTTTCCTGCACTTTCTAAGCAAGTTTTTTCACAAAAGCTGCAATTGTCCTTCAGGTATCTCCAATCAGTAGCTTCTTACTTCAAATAAATCTTATAAGACCTACAGTTAAATGGCCATGAAAAGCTAACTAGAGAAGACTTGCACAAGTAGTCATAGATTACTAATAACCATGATAGCATTACTGCCTGAAATAATTATAAACATTTTTGATTTTTCAATGTTTAAACAAGCCCAAATAGAAACACTTTATGTTGAAGAAAAATCTCCCTGCATTGCTGTAGGAGCATATTTTGCCAAAGCAAAGACGAATTGCCAGCTCTAATTTGAGAGCAGGGAAGGGCACAGGAAGCCCTTCCTTCCCTCCTGCAGAGGGCAGGGACAGCTCTGCCAGCGGCTCTGCCAGTCCCTGCCCTGCCTGTGGGTCGGGCACAGCTCCTCCGTGGGGCACATCCACACCACATCCCCTCCAGGTGACACACACAATCCACTTACACAACTGCTGAGTAAGCAGCAGTTTGCAAGTGTAGGGATAAAAAGATTGGGGGGTTTTAATTTCCTTAGCTTCCCTGAACAACCTCTGGAGTGGGTGTCATGATTCCTCTTTTCCCCACCAAGCAAGCAAATACCCACTGCTTCAAGCTTTTCATGGCAGTTTGCACTACACCAAAGAGAAAATCTGTGTGTTTAACCAAATTCTTTTTATCCCCAAAAGGCAATTTGGAAATAACATATTTAGGGGTGACTTTCTCTGAAGGCAACAGACTGAGAGCAACACACCAGCATCCACAGGCAGAGCTATATCCACATAGAAATAAATGCTTTTAAAGAAGCTTACACTAATATTATGCTTTCTGTTTCCTCCAGAAACAGTTAATGAATTTTCAGCACAGAGGATCAGCCTTGGTAGTGGTATTTTAATTTATTTAATATTCAGCTCTAATTCACTTTCATCCGTGATAATAATAGTAAATTTAATTATCTTCAACCAGAAATAGAGTATTTAGTTGACAGCATACTTCAGGCCCGTTTAAACCCTTACATGGGAAATCTGACAGTAATCTGGCATCTCAACACTTTCAGTATTATAAGCCTGGGATTCACACAGTAGGCAGGGAAGCCATCATTAAGGTTGGAAAAGATCTGCAAGATCGAGTCCAACCCTTAACTGAGCTCTGTGTGCTCACCACTAAAGCATATCCCCAAGTGCCACATGCACACACCTTTCCAACTTCCCAGGATGGCGATTCCACCACTTCCCTGACCACCCTTTAAATGTAGAAGTTCTTCCTACTACCCAAACTAAACCTCCCCTGGCACAACTTGTGGCCAGTTCCCCTTGTCCTGTCACTTGTAACCTGGGAGACAGAAGCAGAACATAACCACTTGAAACCATTTCCCTCTAACTTTCCAACTAAATATTCAAGCTTGTGGTTTTATTGAAAACCCTGCTCTATAATCATATGAAAAGCTCTTCTGTCAAAGTCTCTTTACAGCAAAAATTGAGAAGAGTTTTTAATTTCAACAAAGTTACACATTTTTATTGTAGTGTAACATTGAAAAGTCATGCATTTACCACAAATAACTGATAAAAACAGTTAAAATAATGATTCAAAGTATAAGTATGCCTTTCATTAACCAGTAATTTTTTTTAACATTAAGCAAGTGAGGTCTATAAAAGCTGTTTCTTTAATCTCATCTGCTTATGTTACAAGAAAATACAGCACTTACCAGTACGAAATAGTAAGCATACAGAGCTGCCAAGTGATGTATTACAAAAAATTTGTCACCAATTGCCTTCCAGTAGTAAATAATAAGCAATAGATCTACAAGAGAACAGAAATAACTATAAAGAACTATTTATTATACAATCATTGACCTCAGAATAGCTTCTCTACATTTTAGAGATATACCAAGACATGGCATCAGTAGAAACCCTTTGAATTAATGATGTCTGAAGAGAACATCTTCATCCCAAAGACTTCACTTCAGTCAAAGTATTAGGCAACAGCATTCTCCCAACAATTTCCATAAATTATCACTTTCCACATCAATGGAAATACAGATGCAGTAACTTTAGCCAAAGTAGTTTGGAAGGAAAAGGTGGATCCTGAATCTCATAGTGACCTCACACTTATAACCCCAAAAATCTGGAACATATGACATAAAAAAAGGCAGGTCTGCAGGGGGCATAGCAAACATACAAATAGATGCAACAAATGCAGGGATCTATCATGGAGAACCTCTGAATCAAAAAGTAAAGTACATTAGTAAATTTGGTACCATTTACCAAAACTATTCTGCAAGAGGCATTTGGAATAAGAAGCACATTTACTTTATTAAATCCCAATTTTCTAATTACTGCAAAAGTGACATAGCAAGTTAGTGTTAAAAAGAAAGTTTTAACATACAATAAACCAAAAAAAACCTAAAAAAAAAAATCTTTCTTTTCCCATGATGGTCTGAGAATTCAGAAGATCTTGTTCTCTCTACTGGAACAAGCAATTTCTGTCCCTACTTTCTGCAAATGAGTACTTTGGACTGGAATATTATTGACCAAGGTTCCAAATCAAAGACTTTACCCCTGTGCCTTTCTAAAGTCCAGTGTGCCTTGATCTCTTTTATATTAGCTATCCTCAGGCAGGGCTCTACATCATCTGACATAGCTGCTCACTTCCTATTAATAATTAAACATCAACTATATAGGGAAGTGAGAGAGAATGAGTGGTCAGGTTGAGATGCCTGTTCAAAGGCATTCATTAATTCATAATGAAAGTTTAATGTATAATTATTCAAAAATAGATACTGATTAATTTAAACATGGCAGCTGAAGCTATGAAAAACTCCAGACACTTAAAGTAACGCACAGTTTAACTGAATATGCTGATCACCAGATTATCACTTCCACTGGGTGCAGAAATGAAGTACGAGATAACCAAGACTGTGGCCCAGTCTCTGATCAGAAACTTCATCCTAACATGAGAAGTTTTCACTGAAAGTAGTCCAAGTCACAAGGTTTTGCTTTGACAAGCCAGTATAATCCCCACATAACATAAAAGAAAGCTCCAAAGCATTTTGTAGCAAAATTCCCATGCCAATTTTAATTGACAGAAAAATTAAAACTATAAGACATACGTAGAAATAACTAACATACAAAATAAATAATTGCCATGTTTTATACATGATTGAATTTTGGTTTAAAAGGAGACAAAGATGGGCAGGCAGGATCCGTTTGCCTCAGCTTGTATTGAGGGTTACTAAAATTCTTCTGCCAGCGTTCTGTGGTCATAGGAAGAAACACCTGATAGAAGAGATACGAGCTGTAGGCACTGAGAAGAGTGAAGGGCACTGCTCTAACACCTTCTCAGCTGGCCAAAGGACAAAGCTGAGCTGGAGCTGGTGGCTGCACATCAAACCATGACAAAGCCACACAGTGGTATTTCCTCAGTGCCTGGGGAGATATTCCATCTTTGACATCTGCTAGCAAGATGCTGTGATTTCACCACAACACACAAACCCATCAGCAATTTTAAAAGCCCCAGCAGAACTGTATTGTATACACATACCACATCTCCACCACAGTGGCTCAGGATAAACATAAAGGTATAGTGACTCAATATAAATAAACAGGTCATGCATGCTGTTTACATGTTGCATAATTACCAGAAATGAGGTAGCCTGTGGTAATAGCAATATTCAGCTTCACAATTGAAGGGTCACCCCTGTAAACACACCAAAAATACATAGTTACAGCCTAATTTGCAAAGGACATACACATCTCAAACACAATGCCATCAGGGCACATTATTCTTGGCTCATCAGTAAGAGATTATGCAATCTAGTTAAGAAGGGTTCTAATCACAAGTGAATTCCTTTTCCACCCAAACACAAGACACCTACTAGCTACCCTAATGAGGATCAACCCCTGCCTCAGCACAGAAACTGCCCCAAGAGCCTTGCCAAGAGATTTGAACTGAAACCCAGCAAGTACTCTGAGCCGGCTTCTCAGGAAACTGAGGATAAAAGAGAACAGCCCAGTCTCTGTCTCTTAGCCCTTTAACTGACAGTCTGTGTCTCCATTTTTGTGTTCTGCCAATGCTAAGAGTTTGGTAAGGGTGACAAAAATATCTTGCTCAGCTGGTGCTTTTCATATTCATAATCAGATGGATGTTTATAGGGATAAACAGAGTGGAAGGACACAGGAAAGGAATTATTTGCCAGTTCTCTGAAGCCAAAGAACCTTTGAGCAGAAATGCTTTTCAGAGTACTTTCCACACCTTCTATCCCTTCCCTTTTGGTGCCAAACATTGAGCAGGCAAAGCTCTTAGTAACACACACACAGCTTCAGTTCCTCTAGAATGTTCAACAAACCCAAACTTGTGAATACAGCTCCAGAAAGGGAAGCATCCACGTTACAGCAAGCCATGTTTGTCCTTCTCTCCACTGTTCTCTGTGCATTCCTACTTTGAGGAGTTTGGTAAGCAAGTCTTTTTTCCTTGGCATGAGGATTGTAACTTAATTTTTAAATTAAATTATGCAACTAATCTGGCTATGTTTTGTGTAAATATGAATTGAGCTTCAAGTGAGAGGTCAATAGATCCATACAATGTAGACTGCTCAAGACAAGCTGTGAAAACAATCCTTGTTGTAAACCTTTCCAGAAAAAAGGAACCTAACTGTGCTTACAGCCACCTCCAATACAAAGTCTGCCTCAGCCAGAACACAGTGAAATGCTATTACTTAACTATTTTTTCTTAATCCTATTGGAATGGAGCAGTGGGAAGAGATTTCCTGTATAATTACAATCTGATCACTAAATTGTAAAGCTTAG